TTAATATTTCACTCCCTTGACCTGCAACGTTTCTGCCGAGAAATTTGCTGATAGCTTTATGATTCCCTTTTATGAGCTGTTGCTGCTGCTTTTTCGCCTTCTTGTCATCCTCTTTTTCCTGCTTCTATTAAGATTCTTCTTGATTTTTGACAGTTTTATTATGTCTTGGAAAAGATCTCTTTGAGTTGAATTTGGGCACCTGTCAGCATCATGAATTTGAATGTCCAAACTTTTACCTATACTAGGGATATTTCTTATTGTTCTTTACTTTCTGTTCTTCTTTCTTTTTCTTATGGAACATCAATAATTTGCAAATTACTTTTCTTTGAGAGAGAGAGAGAAAACATTCTGATGTGAAGCTATTTCTAAGTCCATACTTGAAAGACTGATGGGTGATGGAGTCTGCTGTATAGGTGGTCTCTCTTCTTAAAATGACTTTTTAATCTTGGACTGACTGGGTTTCACAATCCCCTCTCTGTATCGAGAGCTCCCATAAAGGCAATTTTTGTCATGACAAATTATTGTTGTGGCTAGAAAACCATGAGGGATATCCATTCCATTGGAGAGGAAGATACCCTTCATTTGACTATTTGGATGACTTTTTTTCCCATAAAAATTTAGAGTTACATTGTTAAGAAATATAGAAGAAGACACAAAGAAATGAAAGGACATTCCCTGTTCATGGATCAGAAGCATTAACATCAAAATGCTATCTTACACAAATGCTATCACAGCTCCTTAATTTGCATTTAGATTTCTAATTGATTACTTAGTTTAGATTCAGTATGTGGTGATATATAAATATTTTTCTTTCTATTGTTTTTCTAGTTTATTACTGATGTGTGAACAGACTATTCTCATCTCAGATTTTTGGAAATAGTTACAAAAAGTGACTATCTCACAATTCTTTTGGAATAACTAATTTAGAAAATTCACTTAATTTTGATAAAGATACTTTCATTGATTTGTATACTCTTATAAGTCTTATACTGTAACAAAATAGATTAAGAAACTAGGGTAATGGTAGTTTCAGATAGGTACATCAGAGGTCCTGATTTTTAGTTTGGAAAATGTGATTGATAAATTGCTAGAATGGAGACCAGCCAGGGCTAATTTTGTGAGACTTTATTGTAAGCTTGTATAAACCAGGAAGTAGGCAGAGTTATTGATAGGACAAGATACTTTTGTTGGTATTTATAGAACCTTGCTTTTTTTTTTTTTTTTAAAGCAGAAGTCCTTTGTTTTTCTCAAGTTAATTAATTGAGGGTGGTGCTGATTGTGACAGTATTAATACCTCCCCACCTAGTAGCTTATAAAATGATGCATTATATTCCTTAAGTGATTTCCTACTAGAATCACATTTATCTGGGTATGAATTAAAGATGTGAACTTTTTACTTTAATGAGGAATGGCTTAGAAAAGTGTTAAATGTTTAATTTTTTTGTTTATTTATAGAACTGCTATAAAGAGCTGTATTTCATAGATCAGAACATTCTTAGCAATCCTGAGAAAATCTGCTTTCTCACTCTTTTTGTTAATTACAATTCACAAGGCACACAAATTAGTTAATGATGACTTGGAATGGCTTGTCTTAGAGGAAACACCTAGTAATTTCACTTTGACACATTAGAACTTTGTTCACTCATAGAATTATAAACTGGGAGGCATTCTGGGATATTGGAAAACTGACCTTAGAGACATAGTGACTCTGTTACTTCTTAGCATTGCTAGTTTGAACAAATTAAATGTCACCAAATTCCTCTTTTCTCTCTTTCCTCATTGTTAATTAGTCCAAGTGATGTATTTAGCATAGAGATACTTTTCTTTGGTCCTCCCTGGTGGCACAGCAGGTTAGGACCAAGCACTGCAAGCTAGTGGCAGTCACTTCAGTGAGAGTTTGATCCGTGGCCCCAGAGGTGACCTATATAGCGCAACAGACCTCTCCTATCCCACCCGCGGCTCCCCTCAGCAGTGTACTTCATTTGCCTGTTCTTTTTGCCACTCTGTCTCTGGTGAATTCTCCCATCACCCCTGCATCTCTGTACCCCAGTTCTGTATGTATAAATAAATAAATATTAAAAAAAAAGATACCTTTCTTTGTGGTACAGAGTACATATTAGAGCAGAGGTCTCCCCATTCTTGTGTCTTCTCTGCATTTTCCCAGCCCATGTTATAAAACTGTAGCAGAAGTGATCTTTCTAAAGTCAAAAAAGTAGCCCTTTTTTTCTTCTTGAAAATTCTTTAATAGTGCCCTGCTAGCCTTAGAATGAAGTTCAAATTCTTCAAGAACCATTAGGATCCCTTTAGCAGACTGATAAATATTAACATATAATTGTTTTGTTGGATGACCAAACCAGACTGATACCTCAAATACTTTTTTTTTTTTTTAACGGATTTATTTATGCACACAACTAGGATACAGGTTTAGAGGTACAGGGGTGGTGAGAGGATTCACCAGAAACAGTGGGGAGCAGAACAGGCAGATTGACGAAGTACACTGCAGTAGGCGAGCCAGGAGAGGTCTGGCAAGCCAGGAGAGCTCTGTTGTGCCATGTGGGTCACCTCTAGGGCGGGGCTCAAACTGGCACTGAAGCAGCCATGGCTTGGCTTAGCTTGAAAGTGCAGGCTCCAACCCTGTGCACCACCATGGAGGGCCCTCAAATAACATTTTAATGAGTACTGTTCATCTGTAAATTAGTGGACTAGTTTAAAAAACTGCCTTACTCATTTGAGAGTTATCCTAATCTTTTGTTTATATGAGGAGTATTACTATACATTGTTAACTCTTATTTTTCAAACATTTTTCTTTTCCCATGTTGAAGTTAAATAATTCATGATGCATTTACTTGGCTTTAGCTAATAAAACTCAACCAACTTAGGCTTAAACAGTAAGGTTACTTCACTTAGGGATGAAACTCTAAATTAGGATTTTACCAGGTTTGATTGGTTCTTTAGCTCAATATCATCAAGGGTTAAATTACTTCTATTTCTTCCTATGTGGAGGGGTTATAGATGATGTTATTATTAGCTTTATTTTTCAAGCTGGATGGTTTGTAAAACAGTTGGAATAAAAATGTTGTATGATTATTAAAAGACTTTTGTAAAATCACATTAGTATAATAGAAAGACAAATAACTCATAATTTGCCTGTTTATGTGCTCATGTCTCTCTTCTGGTTTGTATACCTATTATTTCAAACAAAATGTATAGTTGTATATGTTTTGTGTTCCCACCCCCATTATGATTGTATCAAGAGGATCTTCCATTTCATTAACAATTATTAGTAGAGATTATTTTTTTCTCCTGGTAACTCCAGTAATGATCCTTAAAAATTTTGGGTACAGAAAATGAATAGATCTCCCTGGTGGTGTAGGGTTTGAAGCCTCAGTGCTATTAAGCTATCAATCCCTGGTCAGGGAGCTGACCACCTGGGGTAGCTATTCCCCTCCCTCATCATGTATTTTAGTGGATGTGCCTGTTCTGTTCCCCACTCTGTCCCTGGTGAATACTTTTACCCCCTTGTTCCTCTGGCCTATACCCCATTTCTTACATGCATAAATAAATAAATATCAAAAAGAAAAAAATAGTAAGGATAGAGAAACATTTGAAGAATGTTAGAAACTACCATTATTTTGGCATTCTGAGATAAACCATTAATATGTTGATACAGTTTCTTTTAGAACTTTTTTGTTTGTATGTATGTATACATGTTTCTTTTATAAGTTGGGTGCATAATTTGTAACCTGTTCTTATGACTGAATATTTTAAATGCCTTCTTATTTTTCATATTCCTGTTTTTGAAGTTGACTCATATGAGGAATTCCAGAGAAGAAAAAAATTAGAACTATAACTGATGAAGTTTAAAGAATGTTAGGAACTACCCATTTCTTACTATTCTGTTAAAAACAAAATTTTTAAATTTTTGTCCAGTTATCCTAGACCCTTTGTTAGGAAAGAGTCTCCTTTAACCATTACATTGCCCTGGCTACTTTATCATAAATTAAGTGTTGCTATACATATGGATTTATTCCCGAGCTTTTGGTTCTGTTTCATTGATGTGTGTTCCTGTTTTTGTGCCAATACTGTATTGTTTTAGTTTCTATTGCTTTGTAGTATAGTTCAAAGTCAGATTCTCTTCCCTTTTCCCTCAGGATTGCTTTAACTATTTAAGGTTCTTTTGCATTTGATTTTTAAAAAAATTATTTATTTATGCATACAGAACTGGGATACAGGCCAGAAGTGCAGGAGTGGTGAGAGGATTCACCAGAGACAGAGTGGGGAGCAGAACAGGCAAATCGACAAAGTATTCTGCTGAGGGGAGCAGTGGGCAGGTCAGGAGAGGTGGATCTCCTCTGGGGTGGGGATCAAACTTGCACTGAAGCAGCTGCAGCTAACTTGTAGTGCTGTGCTATAACCCGTTGCACCACCAGGGAGGGCACTTTTGTATTTGATTTATTTGCAGAATATTGTTGGTATTTAATAGGGATTGTATTAATTTTATATATGGCTTTTGGCGTAGTCATTTTAATTATATTGATTTCCCATCATGAACATGGAATTTCTTTCCATTTTCTATGTGATGATTAGTGTTCTTCAGTAACATCTTGTAGCTTTCATCATGTAAGTCCTCAGGTTAATTCCTGGTTATTTGATTCTTTTTGTTGTGATTGTGAATCAAATTATTTTACTATTTTTTTTCCTTTTCTTGTAATGTGGTGAATTGGTGGTTGTGGTTTTAAGCAACTTAAAGCCAATTATTGCATATCACTTCTTATCGTAGGCACTTGGTAACTCCTCTAGTGAATCCTAAGTGCATGGACTGCAATCGTTTCCATCTGGCAGATAGACATTTCTGCCATGACTTCACCAATGTCCTGAGACTTCAGATTAGTCTGATAAGTTTTTGATACAGTTGGGTTTTTCAATTACAACTTTTATACAGAATATATATGTTTAATGCATGTTAATTTAGTAAATAACGGTTCTTTTTCTTATTTCAGGCAACAGATAAGAGAAAAGCTTTAGAAGAGACCAAAGCCTACACAACCCAATCCCTTGCTAGTGTTGCTTATCAAATAAATGCATTGGCCAACAATGTACTCCAATTGCTGGACATCCAGGCCTCTCAGCTTCGTAGAATGGAGTCATCCATCAATCATATCTCACAGGTAACAGCTTCTAAAAGCTTTTAAATTCACATGATCAGTTGTTAGTCTGTATCTGTTGTAATGTTTTTATGTACACACATACACACACACACATCTGTATATATTAATCTATTAATATAGTGAGCTTAACTCACTTTGCTTTCCTTGCATAAACTCCACTTGACTGTGTATATAGATGGTTAGACTTTTGCTATACTACTGTTTTTTTTTTTCTTTTTTTGCAGTAATCCTGTTAGTGGTAATGTTTCTGTCTGACTTTCATGTTAGCTGGTCTTACAGAATATATAGGACAGTAATCTTTCCTCTTCACCTTTATGGAAATGAGTGTTTAGAATTGATATTTATATCCCTCAAATGTTTGGACTTCCCAGCGAAACCATCTAGAACTGGAGTTTTCTTAATAGGAAGGTTTCAAACTATTTTTATTTGTACCAGTTTATTCTGTTTTCTTCTTGAGTGAGCTTTATGTTTTTCCAGGAATTTGGCAGTTTCCTTTAAGTTGTTATATTTATTGGTATGACACTGTTAATAACATTCTTTTTATTCTTTCATATTTGTAGTCTCTATAATGATAGCACATTACTCATTGTTCATATTGGTAATTGGTGTCTGTTTTACTTGATAGTATGACTAATTTATTGTTGACTTGTATAAACCTGAACTTTTGGTTTTAATAATTTTCTGTTGCATTGATTTTTCTTTCTGATCTGATTTTTTTTTAACCTTAGGATTAATTACATGTATTTAAGGCTAAAATCCAAGGTCATGGGGATCCTTTTTGCTTTCATATATATATATATATTTTTTCAATTGAGGTAACTTTAGTTTAAAACACAAGTTTTTAGTTTACAGTTTCTCAGCTTAGCATCTGTCTGTCTATCTTTATCTATCTATAGTATACCAGACCCACTGTCAAATATCTAGTCACCATCTGCCATCGGTCAATTGTAGTCACTACCAAAAGGTTAGTATCCTTTTGCCCCCTTCTCTGTTGACCACCATTCTGTTGTCATAGTCTGAGGATTTGTCTTTGGTTTATTAATTCATTTGCTTTTTTTCCTCTACAGTCCATACAAATGAAAAACTTTATGCTATTTATCTTCCTTCTGACTTTATTTTACTTACATAATCTCCTCAAGATCCATCCATCTTGTCCCAAATGGCAGGATTTCATATTTTTATATATGGCTCGATAGGACCCATTATTTATATTTGTCAGTCTTCATTTTCAATTCATCTGTCATTGGACATTTGGGTTGTTTCTATGTCTTGGCTATTATAAGTAGGGTTTCAATGATCATAGGGAGTGCATATATATCTTTTCAAATCAGTATTTCATCCATATACCCTTGTGGATCATGTGGTAGTTTTACTTTTTAAAAAACATACTTATTTATACATACAGAATTGGGGTACAGGCCAGAGGTGTGTGTGTGTGTATGGGGGGGGGGTAAGAGGATTCGCCAGAGACAGAGCAAGGAGCAGAATAGGCTGACTGATGAAGTACACTGCTGAGGGGAACAGTGGGCAGGTTAGGAGAGGTCTACTGCTCCATGTGGGTCACCTCTGGGATGGGGATCAAACTCATGTTGAAGTGGCTGCCATAGCTTCATAGTGCTGCGCTTTAACCCAATGCACCACCAGGGAAGGCCCTACTTTTAAATTTTTGAGTAAAATCCATACTATTTTCCATAGTGGCTGTACCAGTTTACCAACCCACTAGCAGTATACAAGGTTTTCTTTCTGTTCACATTTATGTTGATAGTTACTACTTTTTGACCTTTTGATAGTAACTATTTTAACTGATGTGAAGTGAGATCGCATTGTGATTTTCATTAGTGTTCCTTGATAAATGATGTGGAACCTCTTTTCATGTGTCTATTGGCCATCTGTAGTCTTTGGTGAAATGTCTGTTTGGAATCTATGCCTTTTTTATTCCCATTAGATTGCATATTTTTTTTTTTAGTTGTATGAATTATTTATATGCTTTGAATTTTAACCCCTGTCTTATAAATGGTTTGTAACTATCTTTTACTGTTTAATACACTGTCAGACCCTTCCCTTTATAAGGCAGAGTTTGTATGTTTTCTAAGCAGAAGAACCTCTGGGAATTTTAACATTAAACCTTTTTTTCCCTATGGTTTTGGCCTCTCATTTAAGGTAGATCAAGTTGGGCTCTGCATCTATATCTAGAAGCACAGTTACCCGAATGACCTTGTTTGAGTATTATTTGGGCCCAGATGTAGCTCCAGGACTAGTGTTTGTCTTTCTTTTACAATTATCTTTGATTTGTGAAGAAAGAAAAAGAGAGTGAGTTTCATTCATAGGTATTATAAGTTGGTGAATGTTGTCCAAGTATGGCTTATGTTGAGCGCTAAGATTTTCCTTTTTTTTTTTTATAATTTGCTTTTTTAATCTTCTCTTTTTTATTTAAATGACAGCTGATAAAATATTTTTGTTGGTTTTTAAAATGCCTTTATTGGCCAGAAAATTGGTAAGGATACTTTTCCCCCCTTCCCTTTCTTCCTTTTATGTCTTTCAGTCCAACTGTTTTCTTTCTTTGCATTCCCTTCCCTCCTCTTGTCTTAAATAATCTACTAATCTGTAAAATTCACAGTTCAAGAACTTAAGTTTCATATCTCAATGATCATCTTCTTTTTTAAAGATTTATTTATGTATACAATAATTGGGGTACAGGCCAGAAGTGTGTGGGTTTGTGTGTGAGAGAATTCACCAGAGACAGAGTAGGGACCAGAACAGGTGGGCTTACTGAAATAGCACTGCTGAGGGGAGCAATGGACTGCACAGGGTCACCTCCCGGGTTGGGGATTGAACTCATGCTCATGCTGTTGTGACTGCGGAGAGCTTTAACCTGTTGTGTCACCAGGGAGGGCCCTCCTGGTTACCTTTTTCTTACATGCATACACACCAACTCACCATTCCATCTCTGAATAAACAAGAATGAGACATTTGAACCATCAACCTTGGGGAACCAGAAAAAAGACTCTACTTTAGGCTCATGAGAACAGGGCAGTGCTATGAATTTCAGTTCTGTTCAAACATAAACCAAATGTAAGTGTTCTTCCTTTGGTAATGACAGTGTAGTTCCTATCAAACCAACCTCCTCATAGATCATTTTAAACTCTGAATGAAACATTAAAGATGGGAGTACTTGAAGAACAATCTGTAGCAGGCAGAAACTTAAGGAGGAAGTAGAGTTAGTCTACACATGGAAAAAAGAAACAGTACTGAGGGGGCTGCTGTTTTATAGACAACTGGTATCTTGCTAGGCAGCTAAAATGCATACTATCAGATGAGCCAGAGGGCAGAATTCATGGTGACCACAGTAATTGGAACATAAGAACAAAGAGACCTGAAGAAAGTTTGGTTGCTTGTATCGAAAGCTGACCCTGAACTATGCATGTGTGGAACAAACTGCAAACAATCTATAAGGCTAAAAGAAATGAACAGAGATTTCAGCTGCTGCCTATTTTACAGGAGACAGTTTGGAGTTTAAGGTCAGCTAAGTTTATTGCAATACTTTTTAGGAAACTGTAACAGAACTAGGAGTTCTACAAGGTATATGCCAGGCGTATGATATTTATTATCAATAGACATGGAAAATAATAGCGTTAGTAAGAGGTCTCTATTCACTTTCATTTTCTGTATCCCACAGAAGTGTTTTATTGAGAGATCTGAAATTATATCCAGAAGCCTATAAGAGTAGTTGGACAAATGTTCTAAGTTTTTAGCTTCAGCAGCGTGAAGGTACCCCAAGGGTAGAGTTAGGGAGGGTGAGGTGAAGGTTGAGTGAAATATGACAATCATATGATAGCATCCATCAAAGTTATCTAAAGTGTGTAAAGTGTGTGTGGGTGTGTGTGTGTGTTTTAAGCACTTCAGACACATACTGTATAGGTGTCCTGCATCTTAACTGTGATAGGGGAGTGTGTGGAAGCTTCCCAGTACCAGGAAGCAATTTTCAGACAACAGCAGGTTATCCAAGAATTCTACTCAATTTTGAGACTGTCTACTCAGAGATAGCATCAAATTTCACTATTATGGGCTCAGTCTTTAAAGACTGCCCTCCATTTCAGACACTGTCCATAAGCCATCAGTTAATTTGTACTTTGAAGGAAGCCTGTGTATTTATCATGTTATATGGACATTTCCTTTTTATTTGCCTTTGCTGATGACGAATGACTCTTACATTGTGTTCATGGAGATGATGATATCCCTTTGCTTTTCTCTGCCTCTCATATTTGCTTGGTACTGGAGCTCTACAATGCCTGAATCATAGCAGCATGTTTAGGAGAAAAAGGAGTTTCATTTTTCTCAAACCATCCTCAGATGGCAAACTGAAATAATTAAGTCCTGAAGCAAAGGAAAGACAGTGGCTTTTGGAAATTGGGGATTCTGTTCTTTGCTTTCAAGGTAAATGGCTGGCTATCCTTCCTCTGTTCATTATGCTTTTTTGGAGAAATGAATCACCCAAGCCCATATTCTGCCTTAAATCATCAATTTGTGGTACTGAGGTAGCAAATCTCCAATTCCCTTCCCATTGATCACAAAGTGGGCTAAACTTTTTGTTTTGTCCTAACAGTGTAGGACAGGACTGTTCATATTTAGTGTAAGGAAGGACTACCTCTTTCAAAAAGGGATTTGCATCCCTTTCTTCTTATAGTCTGACTATAAGTGGTTAGTTTGGGAGTCTTCTGCCACATCTTACCTTTCTTTGGTTATCTGTAAGTCATTTACCTCCTAATCAATTTCTGATGCTGTAGAGTAATCCGTTCTTGTGTCTCAAAGTCAGAGAGTGGCCTTTTACCTCCTGCAGTTTAAATTTCAGGTTTCTTAGCATGGTTTAAAAGATTCTTTAATTTGGTCTCTCTTAACTCTCATTGCATTCCTTTTGTGCTCAACTGTTCCAAATGTTCCAAACTTAAATTATAAATTTGTGCCTCTGTCTTCTTCCATAAGCTATTTGTCTTTCTTGGAAT